GCGGATTATTTCCACCAGTCCTCTCTTATCTCCACACTCGCTTGGCTTGCCTCGTAGTACGCCCCTCTACATCAGAATCTCTACAATCTCCCAGCTATCTTATCCGTTTTGACTTTACATTTCACTATTATTCAGCCTTCGTTCTCCGACTAATTTTATTTGAATTGTAAACTCTGCCGATCCTTGCCGTAATTCCGAGTTTTCTGTGTCTTTTTTTTACGTTAAATCCAGCAAACCGTACTTAACTCCATGCACAAGTACACGCCTCGATTCCATCTGGCCCGAGTTGACGATCTCTCAAAGATAAATTTCTGCGAGTTTGATACCTTTGTCTTCAAGGAGACTGAATTCATTGCTGTCACTGCTTACCAAAATGAACAGGTTAGCAACAATACTATATTGTGGAATGCATGTCTTGTCTTGTAAGCAACAGCTTACTCGTAAGAGTCCAGCTTTGCGGACAAATTCAGTGTAGAAATGTAGTAGCACACATTCACATGCAAATGTTTTTAGGAAAACACTCGAAAATGCGCCTATATTCAATATAATCAGTCTTATTACTTTTATGGGATCTCTATTGACTTTTATTAGCTCGCGAGTGCGTCTTAAAATATTTTCGGCCAGAAGTTTTAGTAAATTAAACTTTTGTTTTGTTGGAAGTCAAGAAATGACTATAGCAGTGAGAGGAGCCAAATCTAGACTTAGCCCATTATGGGTCAACCTGTGGGATGTGAAATCAAGTGATATGGCAAAAGGTCTGGCCTTCTTTGAAATTTGCATCTTCCTTGTGATCCAAGAGCACTAACGGCAATGTGACGTAATGGTTAACGTGTCGAGATTATTTATTGCACTTTCATGGTTCGAGTCTTGATAGGGTGCTGAGGAGATATATGCGAGGCCGAAACTGCAGTCCTGGCAAGCAAGGATATGTTTGCATTCTTCATTCGCTTTATAGTGTTGGTTTGACCTTGTTTTCACAACTTAGTCGCAGTGTCAGGGAGATTTTGTGGAAAGTACCTTGTCCCGTGTCGTCTGCCATAGTATTCGTAATTTCCAGCATTGGACCATTGACTTGATACTTGTATCAACGTTTCGCTGACAGTGTAGTCGGCATCGTCAGTGAGAGGCGCCATCGTAAGCATATAGTTACAACTTATCAAAGTGACAAGTGATAAGTTGAAACTCTGTCCTTACGATGGCGCATGTTAATGACGATGCCGACTACACTGTCAGCGAAACGTTGATACACGTACCAAGTCAATGGTCCAATGCTAGAAATTACGAATACTAGGGCAGAGGACACAGGACTAGGTAATTTCCACAAATTCTCCCTGACGCTCCGACCAAGTTGTGAAAACATGTTCGAACCGACATTACAAGGATATGTGAAATTCAATGGAGGCGTTAGGTCTACTCATTTGGTTGTGAGAAGATTCGACTACCTTAAACGAAATATGGTGAACACATCTCATGACTATTGCCATGAAAAGTGTATACTAGTAAAAGTGCTAAACTGAAGATTTAGGGTCATTTCAAATTCATCGGAGTGAGGAGACCGAGCTGAAGAGTACAACATCAATTGGTCCAGAGTAGGTATGTTTGTGCACGATTGTGAGCATTTTTGACGTATGCCTGTAGTCCAAGGTGATTGGTGATAGGCTTGACTAAATAGGGTTCAAGCCAACTGATGTATGCTCAACTGATTAAAACCTTAGAATTAATTGAAATATAAGAGTGTGCGATTCAACAGTGTAAAAGGAGCGTGGTCTATTTTTACACCAGCGGTTCCTAATCAAGCCAGACATAGGCCCCCAGAGAATGAGAGAGAATAGGTGCGGATAAGAAAGAGGACAAATACGTCATGGGCCTGAAGTCTAGGGACAAAGAAGATGCTTAGGGATGAGAATTATTAGTCTTAAAATCAGCGAATCTGACTTACAAGGGGACTGGAATTGAAGGCTCAAAGGCAGTCAGATTTCAGACAGCCATTCACTGAAGGTATGAAGACCAAGATAGTGTGGCCTTTTGTGTGGTCGCAGTCTCCTTTCGTTTTTAGAGGTTGTTTGACCTTGTTTTCGCAACTTGGTCATATTAGTAGGAAGACTTGGAGGAACACACCTAGTCCGAAGTCCATTGTATGCATCATCATTTCCAGAGTAGGACTGTGGACGTGGTACATTCCCAGACGTTTCGCCATTCTTAGCACTATTCAACAACTTGTCAAAGAAACAAGTGGAGCTGATCCTTTGACCAAACGTGTGCTAAACTGTTGTGTTACCTCCCCTTCTGCCCTGAGCTATTCACATTTCCTATATCCTCTTATCACACCCTAACTGTTACAATTTTTTCCCTTGCTTATTTTAATCAAGTGTGGTGTGATCTTCTGAGCGGCCTTCATGAGAACCCTCCGCACTCAACGCTGGCGTTCTCACCTCCCTTCACCCTTGTGCTGGGAATGTGGATCAGAGTCTGCCATATTGTTACGCAGTCCTCCTTTAATAGGTCTTATCACAGTCTCCCTCTTGCCCCGTAGAATCCGTCTGCTATCGCCCTGGTTCAAGCATTTCA